ACATGGAAACTGAGACCAGGTGTTCTTAATTATCTCTCTCACTTCTCCTTTGAGATGCGGGTAGTAAATTTCTAACAGGGCGTGTATTTCGGCTTCATTCTTAAAGGAGGAAAACTGGGGTAAGCCGCTTACAGACAAAGCTGCATAAGCAACACACTTTCTCTACCCTACTTGATTAGCATTCTCTGCTTACGTGCCAAACGGAGATTTATGCCCCCCCCAAAAAAAAACATCCAACTCACTTGACACTCACATAAGCAAAAACAGCAGGCGCCTCACTTCATGGGCCTGGTCCATGGCTATTTATAAGTGGAGTAGGGATAACAAATCATGAGGGCACGTCGGGGGAGTGTGAGTGACACCTTACTACATGTCATGAGTCGGGGTACTATCTCAGCACTGACAGAGCCCACAAGAGGAGTGTCCTGGTATTTCCTCAGTTACAGCCAGGAAGGGTGTGGGGGTCCTAACAGGAGGAGAGAGTATATTAACTAGAACTAGGGCTTCTCAACCTGTTTCCTACTTGAAACCCCTCAGTCTGGCTTCAGCGCTTTGCTCGGACCGTCTGTGACAGGCTGGTCCACCTCAGTACTTGGACTGGTCATCAAGTGACAAGTTCAGAGAAGATTTTTGAGGTAAAGGCACATTCACTGTGATGGGAGGACACACCCCACAGAAAGAAGGGTTCAGGCAAAGAGGCTTCTGGGAATTTTGTCACTGTGGTAATGCACCATTATGAAACTATCTCTTACATCCCAAGAGACTGGAACTTTTGCCAGGCCTCACAGTCAGAGTTAATAATCTACACTGAGGTCACAAGACTGCTATCCCACTGTGTATGCAGCCTGTTTCTTCAACCTGCCTTTAGGAGAGCAGTGCCACAACCAACCTCACATGCCTTAGATTCCCCACAGCATCAGCTTTTACACCCTAGCTAACACATCACTGCAATCCCAAGTTATATACTCCATGCCCCTGCCCCAAGAGTGCAGCGTGTGCACTTTTACAGGTGTTATGATAACCATTTGCTGAAAACATCAAATAGACTGAGAACACTCTTACAAAATGAATATCTGCCATAAGTAATGGCTAGTGCTTGATAAACAATGGTGACTATAGAGTGTTTGTTATCTAGGACAGTTGGAGTCAGTGAGTTAATCCCTGTTAAACCGCTGACTATGTTAAAGGTTCTGTGAAGTTCCCCTCTTTCCTTCCCCATGTGATGATTTCTGTGCTGCTTGATAAAAAAGAAAGTGAAGCCCTTTATCAGGACAGACACACTGACAGATTGACAAAACAGCATTCAGGCAGGTGCAGACTCAGACCCATACAACAAACAGACAGGGATGATAAAAGACACAGGGAGAGTGAAGCAGAGAATTCAGATCTAGGTTCTGGTCAAATGACATGAAGGAGAAATGCTTTGATTTCTGCCCTAATGCTACATCAACAAATTACTGGGGACTCTTATTTTATTATCCATGCATTCAAACTGACCAGAGGTGATGTTCTATTTGTTAGCCATGCTGGCTTCTTTGTAAAAATCAGTTCTCTGTGCTTTTTTTAAACGCTTTTTATACACATATTGTAAAAGTTAAACATAACTAAAAGTTAAACATAAAAGTCACTAATTCACATCTACTCCCCACTCAGATTATGTTAGAATTACCTGGACAGGATTGTCTTTTTAAACCATGGACCCACAGACCAAGGAGGCTGTCGTGAGATAAGGTAGAAATCGGAGGCACCAACTAAGTTTTGGAGTAAATCATGTGGTATAAGAACTGACCTAAAAAGAAGAAAACTGCCTACACCTGGGGAGGGCAGGTCCGTGCTCCCAGACGTTTCTGAAGCTAGGATGTTGTCAGGACTCAAAATGACAGCACTGACACCCGGCTGCTACAAGAAGCACTCAGGCTCGCAGAGGCCGCCGTCATCACAGCGAAGGATGACAGACAGAGGACCAGTGGGAGCCACTGTGCACTGCCCAGAGCCGGTGCTGGGTGAAATTTCAGATGCTGAGGAAGGAGACAACTTAGACACTTCCTGCCTTGACCCCCAGGATGCTGACAATGAGTTGCAGCCCTCAACAGGAAAGGACAAATTTCTGTCCAAGAAAACTGCATGAGTGCAAAGAAAAGGCTCAGATACACACACATATATACTACACATGTACACACAGAAACACGAAGATATACCATACACACATATGTACATCACATACATACATGCATATACACATGTACACACACATGTTCTTATACATACATATATACACACAGAAACAGAGATATACCATACACACACATATATACATGCACACATACATATACACATGTACACAATACAAAAACACAAATACATTCAAGCACTCACATACAAATATATATTTGCACATACATACATATACAAAAACACAAAGATAAACCACACATGTGAACATATACATACATATATACATATACACAAATAAAAATACATGCATGTACTCACATACAAATACACATTTACACACACATATTTACAAACACAAAAATACAAAGATATATCATACACACATATATACATACACAGGTATATACACATATATACATAAATACAAATACATACATGTACTCACAAACAAATACTTATTTTTGCATACACACCCTTATGTATACAAATATGCATGTATATATGTACCCACAAAAAGGTGCATATATACACCATGTATACAGACATGCCTACATATACACTCACAAACACACATACATACACACACAGAGCTTTTAATCAACACTTTAAGCCTTCTCTATACACCATGAACAGGAAAAATCCATCAGGTATTTGAAGAAAACCCTTTGGCATGGAGACTATCACAAAAGTAAAGATAAATAAGTAAAAATGGAGTTCAGAAGATAAAGTCACTGTAGAGAACAAAATAAAACCTTAGATATCATGTTTGGTAGGCTTACATTCATGAAAGAGGAACAGAATACCAAAATACCGTAAAAAGGAAACATTTAAGGAAAAGACTCCAGAATGATCAGATGACAGAAATAATATATACATTTTTAGACTTAAAAATTTTGAGGAAAAAAAAAAAAGCCATCCTCCTAGGCTGAAGAAGTAGCTCAGGACTAGACACTCAGGCAGCATGCACAGGGCCACCGGTGTGACCCATCACAGGGGAAAAGTGCTGAGCGGTGGGGACGACGAGAAACTCCATGAAGGAACAGAGGAAAGAGTATAAGAGCCTCCAAAGGAAAGAAAAAGTGGGCATTAGAAAGCCAGCACATTCAACAACAGCCTTGATCTCTAGCAGAAAATGTCACACTGTCTTCAAGCTCTGATAACAATCTGTAGAGCATTAGCGAACTTTCACACAGGACACCAGCCATTCTACACTGACACAGGAGGGAGGAATGTTCCAGAAAGGATGGTCCCAAGGGAGTGGGGGGATGGGACTCAAAGGTGTATCTGAGCATACGGAGATGAAATTCACACTTCTGACCTTAATGACAGATTGGTTACAATAAAAAAATAAAAATAAAAACCTGCAAAAAGTAACACAAAAACAAAGTTTTTACTGAAGATAAGAGAAAAAAATTAAAAGACTTTTAGCTTCCAGCCAAGATGAATGAGCGGAAAAAAAGACTTACTACCTGAACAAACCAAACCAAAAAAGACAAAACAGTCAGAGGTGTCCACACACTGGACGTCCCTCATTCAACCAAGTCCATGTTATACATGATCTTTTCAAGGGAACCATATTATGAATCTTGTTTTTGTTTTTAAGTCTTGGACTGTGGGAGATAGCTCAGTTGGTAACAGGCGAACCTGGAGAACACAAGGACCTGAGTTTCATCCCCAGAATCCACACCGGGCAGAAGGCCAGTGTGGAGGCACGAACTCGCAATCCCGGCGTGCCAGAGGTGACACTGGCACATCTGTGGGGCTCACTCCCCTGCTGGTCTAAGCTACTTGGTGAGCTCTAAAGGCACTGAGAGACAGTGTCAACAGGCAAAGTGGCTGGTGGCTGGCTCCTCAGGAAAAGTGCCAAACTCGTCTTTTGCCCCTACACACACACACAGACACACACACACACAAAGAGACTTGATGTCAAAATCTCATATTAAAAAGTGCTCGAATTCACACATCATTAGGAAATGGCAAATTAGTATCACTGTAGGTTATCACTTCACACCCAGTAGAGCAGCTGAAATCCAGAATTTGGGGACTGTAATTGTTGGCAAGGATGCAGGGCCCTGGTAGCTGTCACTCATCACTGCGAGAAATGCAGAATCGTTCTGCCGCTGAGTAGGATGGCTTAGCAGTTTAATCTTACCAGAGGATTCCGCAATCTCACTTCCTGCTATTTACACCAAACAAACTGAAAACTCATGTTCACACAAAAACCTGTGTGTGGACATTTATAGAAGCTTTGTTCATAACTGCCAAAGTCTAGAAGCAACCAAGGTGTGCTTCACAGCGAACACTCAGACAATGGTAGTTAACCAGTGTTGAGGAAAAAAAAAAAAAGAGCTACAAGGCATAAAAATATTCTCAAGATGGCTGGAGAGATGGCTCCGCAGGTAATAGCACTTGCCTTGCAAACCTGACCTGACCTTGGTCCCCAGGTCCCGCATAAGGAGCCGGAGAAGAAGATGTATGTGTGTGATCCCAGCATTTCTAGTTCTGCCTCTCTTGCTAAGCCCTGCTTCTGCATTATGGTACCAGGATCGCCTCTGGCATGGGCTGCCCCCAGGCCTGTGTGACACAAGCCTGGTGGTCATCTCACACTCATTCTTCAACTGGCCCACCCAAGCAGGCCCTTCAAAGTGTCTTGCAAGTGTCACGTGGTCCCAGGTGGGGGTCTTTTATTCTCCAATTTGCTTGCCACCCTGGGATTCCCATCTGGGCCTGCCCAGTGCCAGACTGCTGGTTGTCTCAGGCTAGCTCCCCATCCCAGCTCCTTGATGCCAGACTGGGGGTCATCTCAGGCTCACTTTTTTTCCGGG